TTGAAGTCTGCCTATCCTGTGGCAGAGTGTGAACCTCCCTGTTCCCCATTCTTCTTCTTCTTTCAGCATCAGAGTGCAAAAGTGTAATTGGTGAATACAACAAATCATTCTGAGTGCATTTCACACAGCAAACACACCAAGAGCACGATGACCATGAAAAAATATGTTTCGATGAACACTCTTATTTATTTCAGTTTCCAAAGCAATTCACTGCAAGGCCTTTGCTTGCGCAACTCATGTCTGTCTGATGAGCTCTTTGGGGATTTGATTTGTTTGCACAATAGATCCAACATTAATGGAAGAGGATCTTCAAAGTATCCATAAACAGGACAAAATGGCAGCCTGTATGGATGCATGCCAATTGTAATGGATGGGCATCTTGCAGAAGGTATTCCACCCATATAAGTCACCTACATGGTTCTGCTCATTTCAACCATTCCCCCCTCCCCGCCATACAACCATCCTGTACGGAGGTTGACTCACTCACAGTCACTCAGTAATCTTCATGGCTACGTAGGTCTGTCTGCCTCCACCTATCTTGAAAACCTGCATTGGCTAACTTGAACCAGGTTCCAGCTATTGTTGATATTGAACTGCCCGAACAATTCAGGGCCAAAAATAACCTACCCAGCAGCTTTTCTCTGTATTATTGTTCTTTATTTCATTTCTATACTGCCCCACAACCGAAGCTCTCTGGGTGGTTTACAAGAGTAAGCACCAAATCAACCCCAAGGTATCCCCAGAAGGCCTTATTGGCTGTTTAGTGCCCAACAGCCTGTCATCAGGTGGGAGCACGTCAGTGGCCTTTCTTGATAGGAGCATCACCCTCAAGAACACCTTTCCCACCTGTGGTTCGAGAGGTAGAGATGACAGTGGGCTTTAGACCCGTCTTGAAAAAGCTTTCGTTCACTCAGGCTGGCCCTGACATCATTCACCACGACACTGCTCTGTTTTACTGTTTCTGTTGTATTTTTTAAAAAGGGTTGGGTTTTATATTGCATTGTATGTATTTTCGATGTAAATCACTTGGAGATCCGGAGGTGTCAAGCGGTAGAGAAGAAGTGTCAACAATAAATGAATAAAGTGGTGCTCTCCAAATATGTTGCACTGCAATTCCCATCTGCCAATACGATCATTGTGTAGCCCAGCACATCTGGAGAATACCAGGCTGGGGAAGGCTGAAGATGGGATTTGCATTGTGACCTCTCCAGTCCTAAAATTGCACTGACTTCACTGACTTTCAGGTCTGTCTTTCCCATGATGGGTGCTAAGCTTTTGTAGGGCTGAAGCATAAGTGAAAGAAGCAGTGGGCTTGTAAATCTGCTTCTAACTCCTCATGGGCTGCAGGCATTTCCGTCCTCCCTTTTAAAAAACAGCTGTTCTCCAGCACAAGGCTTTTCCAAGGAGGAAGGCACGGGGATTCAGGTTTGGGGGGCTCACATAAACCCATTCACTTGAGCTTCAGTTCAAGGAAAATAAAGCTAAAGGAGCATCCACAAAGCCAAATCAACTGGCAGTAGCATCCTTCGGCACAATCACCGGAGCAAGATGGCTGCAGCCTCAGGCAGTGCTGACAGCAGCAACCCAGCGCAGCCTCGGGCACGACAGCAGCATGACCTGCAACGGTGCCTGCAAAGATCTCTGCCTCCTTCTCCTTCTAAACATTTATCTTTTTTAAACCTTAAAGCACTGGGGTGCTGGGTTTGCTTCCTGTTCGGATCAGGAGGCAGACAAAAAGGAAAGACGTGCATCCTGGCCCCGCCCAGTTATCAGCTCTCCACACAGACGGCTCCTCTTTGCGCTCCCTCCCTCCCTCCCTCCCGCCCTCAGCTTCTAGCTTTGCTTTTCCTCTCCTCTCGCGTGTCTTCCTTTGCCGTGATATTTCCTCCTGCCTCGCAGAAGACTAACTGCTTCACTCGACCTTTTGATGGATCAGAAGCTCCTGCAGCCATCGGATGCCTAGCCGCATCCCCCATGGCAGCTGTTCTGTGGTAGCACCGAAGGCAAGTCCTCAAATTCTGAGATACGGCCTCAGGTCACAAAATGTCGGGGCTTGTTGCACTATGAGGTCCGACAAGCACCAGTGCACTCCCAAATAACAATTCTGTCCTGGCGCTCTCAGTGCCCTAAGTTATCATATCACCAGCAGATTTAACGTTTCCAACTGTTCAGCATCTCTCTCTCGCTCTCTCGCTCTCGCTCTCTCGCTCGCTCGCTGTGTGTGTATGAATCTGATCAACACTCTCAGTGGTATGCGCCCCTAAAGATTAGCTTAAACCGGGTTCTTCACTTTATCCAAACATTGTCTCCCACATTTCTATATTTTGGTTTCTTTATGATGTGCGCTACATATTGTGATGCAGATAGAAGGTTAATCATGTTACTGTTGGGGGATGCAAAGGGAACTCGTGGGGGAATGAAAGGGTTGGGTGAATCAGTGAGAATGGGGCTGTCGCCGGCCTGCTATGAAACTGATTGATTTTATACTTGGCCGTTTTTCCTGCAAGGGACCCAGGGCAGTTTACATAATCCGCCTGTTCATTTTATCCCCACCACAACCCTGTAAGGAAGCTTAGGCTGAGAGTCAGTGACTGGCCCAAGGACACCTAGTAAAAACTTTCAGGGACTAGAACCCAGATGTCCCAAGTGCTACACCACGCATTGTTTTAAATGCATGATTAGCATTTTGCTAAACTATTGGCTATGAAAGCATGCATTGCTTTTAAATAGTGCACATTTAAAAATCAGCAGGTTGATCACACTGAAGCATGGTAGCAAACACAGGGATTCCATGCAACATTAGTCCAACTTGGATCCCTTTTATTTCTATGGGACTAATCTAAGTAGGACCAACTTTGCATACAATCCTACATCTACAGATCATGCTGCTCCTAAAGGTGCAGAAGCAGTCGCTCTTTTTTTAAAGTTGGCAATATTGGGAAGAATTAGACGCAAGGCATTTTTTCCCCTCGGCAGGTAGCCACGCAACCTTTAGCACTGACGTGGGCAGAGCAGAACAGCTCCCGTTGCCTGCTGGTCTGGAATGCATATAGCTCTGGTCTTACAGCTGTGGATGGAGGACTGAAGGATGCCCTTCAAGCAAAGCACATCTGTTCCTAGGTAACACAAAAAGGCCAAGACGGAAAATGTTTTGGAGATAATATGGAAAATGTATCCATACCCAGGTCTGTTAGCACTCAGCATAGCACAGAAGGGATGGTAGCTCTAGATAGAGAATTCTGTGGCCTTAGCAACAGCTCAAAGGGAGCTTCCTTCGCAACAAATGACTATTTCTGGAAAAATGCGACATTCACCTTCCTGCATTTCCTTCAGTGATTTAAAACTTATTCTTTCCATTGAAAATAGCATTCACCCGTAGACAAGTCTCCCATGCACGTCTGGGGCTTCAGCATGGAGCACATGGACGCCATTGTAGCCAGCGGTCACCTCCCTTGGTCTCCACCAGGCTTTTTGTTCTCCTGCTTTTAATTTTGCTTCTTAAGGTCTTTAAGTTTTTCTTATTTTTAACTGGAAGGCTGGCATGCTGCAAAGTGCTGTCCTCCAGCACCATCTTTTTTGGGTTCAAAGAGGAGTCACACAGCTGAGATTTAGGGATTGTAACTCTACAAGAGATTAAAAGGAGTCTGGATTTCTCTGAACCTTACCAGTGGAATAAACTGTGCAGCAGATCAGGTTATTCTAAGTGGTAATAATTATGCACACTTGCAGATTGTTTTTTCACTTTGGGGTGAGATTTGTGTGAATTCACATTTGGACTTCTGCATGTTAGTGCTTCTTTGTTCTTGTGCTGGTGCAGATTTGAACTAACTTGTGCTAGTGGAAGTTCTCATACATCACCCCACAAAAGTCCATTTCTACCAGCAGACAATGTAAAATGAACCCTACACTAATGAGCCCACGAATCCTCCCTCTGCCTCTTCCTCCAGCCCAGACAATGCGGCAGCAAGGCGGAGAAGTGGCAGGTCTGCTGCATCCCTGGTTCTGTGCCTGTCAAGCAAGCACTTGGAGCTGTGACGAGGAAGAGGAAGAGGAAGAATCGGAAGAGCAGCAGCCGGCAGCGTTGCCAGGAGGTGAAAGCAGACTTGCTGAGGGAGGGGGCTCATTGTGGCAGTCTTGCCCTGAAAAGCCTGGAGTGGCTCCCAACCCAGGTGACTGGCGAGGATTGGCAGAACTTCTTCAGCTAAAAAAACAGGCCTAGGAGGTTACGGCTAGGCCTACAGGGGACCTGGAGGAGTTGGCTGTCTCTTTGGCCCCTGCCTGACATCCTGCAGCTTCCCTGAGGACCCTGAAAAGAAGCCACAGCAGCCAAGACCTCCCGGAAGCTACTTTAGAGGCTTGACTTAGGGTCTTATGGGGGACACTTTATTGACTGCATTTGTAGCCTGCTTTTTGCCTGCAAGGAAGTTTACCTAATCTTCCCCTCCATTTTTATCCTCACAACAACCCTGCTAGGTGGATTAGGCCAAGAGTTGGTGACTGGCCTAAAGTCACTCAGTGAGTTTTATGGCAGAGGGAGGACGAGTCTCAGACCCAGTTCAATACTCCAACCACTAGGCCACACTGGCCTCCCCTCAGATGGTCTTGTGCATTACTTCAGTTGTGAAGCACACCGTTAACAATTCTCTTCTCCCTCACCACCGCTACTCCACATGTCACAACTGCTTTTACGTTCCTGAGCCACTGCAACAGAGCCAACCCCTGATTTTTATTCTTATTTTTTAAGACCTGCTTTGAGCACGCGCAGTGTAAACGCACTGAAATCATCGCGCCATCGGGGCTGCAGGAGTCACACGGGGTTGGCCAGCCGGTTGCGGAGGCTTTGCCGCTGCCCGGCACCTGCTGCTCCGCAGATCCTCATCTCTCCCCCTCCCCAGTGGCTGCAGGACCCTGGACTTTGGCCCCCGGGTCCAGCCCGACGCGCCACACCCGGCGCTGATGAGGCTGCAGTGCACACTGGCCCCCAGGCAGGAGAGTCCCGGTCAAGTTCTCTGTCCCGCGAGCCTCCCCGCAGAGCGCTGCTCTGGAGCTCTTCTCCTGCCCGGCGGCCCGGGAACCGCTGCGCCCCGGGGACGCTCGCCTGGGCTCTGGCGAGGGATGCGCGCCGCACCGCGGCGGCTGCGGCCCCCACGGCCCTGCCCGCGGCGGCGTTTGCTCCTTTCCCTCCTCCTCCTCCTCCTCCTCCTCCTCGCCGCCAGATCTGCTCGCAGTGGGACAATGCCGACTTTTGAACCTCGAACCACTAAGCAAACAGACCTTGCGCCTCGCTCCACAATCCAAACACGCTTTATTGACCGGCGTTCCATAGCAACGGAGGCACACGAGGCTTCCTCCGTCGCCTGCCTGCCAGCCAGAGCTCCGGGTGTGGCTGCAGCCTCCAGAGCCGCTGAGCCGGATGGCTTCAGCCCAGGCCGTCCGCCTGCCCTTTGCGTCCTTCGTTGCCATTAGGCTGTTGTTAATAGATTTTTAAAGAGGTACCGGGGCTCCAGCCTGCCTGGAGCGAAAAGCGGTGGCTTGTTTTTCTACAGCTTATGCATCCCTTCGTCCTAGATCCCGCTCACTCTTTCCTGGCCTTCACTGATCTCCTTGAAGAGGTGCGTAAGAGACAGAAATTCAACTGGTAAAACTTTCCCTTAATATCTGAATGTAGCGATGGGAGAAGTTTTACCTGCAGAATTTTAGAGTGCGGGCTTCCGTGGATTCCTGTGGGAGAATTGGCCCCTGGAAGAAGCCAAGTCCTACTCAGTAGGAATGCTTACTCAGGAGTAGGGATGCCAGGACTGGTCCTACCATTTAGGCAGCACTGGTGCCCCTGGAATAGCACAAGTCATCATGCCAGAAGATGATGCTGGGCTTCTCTCTGTGTGTCTGTCTCTGTGTGTCTGTCTGTCTTTTGAATTGTGCCCCAGTCTACATTACTTACTGTGAGACAGCAGGACTTCCTGGAATGCTTCCTCCATTTCTTCAAGGAAGCCACCGCCATGATAGGATGCTAAAACCAGCACCACAAGACCTTGAACTAAGGTTCAGAATTCTGAACCTTTGGGGCCCTCCTGGCATCCCAGTCCAGCCTTCTGGAGTCCCTTTTTTCTCATTCCAAGGACACAATCCTATGGCCATTAGATTCTGTCTAGGCAGTCAAAGGATAATTGGGAGTCCCAGCTCCAAACTTGGAGAGCCACTCTGAGATCAGAGCTGGGACTCTGAATCCAAAGTTCTTGCCTTCTGCCTTCTCAGCCAGAATGGTACTTTCTGCACCAGCTCCGAGGAGACAGGACCAACCTCAGAGGTGCCCTTGGTGGGAGGCCAGATGGGAGGAAGGAGGCACCAACATCCCCAGCAGTTCCTCCAGCTGCCCTTGAGAGCCTGTGCAAAACACTTAGGAAATGCTCCTGTGCACCTTTAGGCAGCAAAAAGGCCTGCCATCCCCAGCAAATTGGCTATTGACATATTCTAAAGTGCAAAGCAGCACCAAAGCAATCCTTGCCTCTGTCCTCCAGAAACCTGAGTTTAAAGCTTTTTGGGCAGCCATTTTGCTAAGAAGCTGAAATGCTTGCCCTAAGGTTTAGTGACAGGCAAAGAGAGGTGTAAATTAAACCATGCCAGCATTTTCTTTGTTTTTCGGCCTGCCCTTTTCCCTTAGCCCCACCCACCACTGCAATAGGGCCCATGGAAGCTTCTCTGAAACTGCGTGAGGGCCCTTGGACCATGAAACATGCCGTGCCTTTGACACACACCCCACTTCATTTTTGTCTGTGTATATTCAGAGTGGGAAATTTGTGTCCCTCCAGCTCTTATTAGATTATAACGCCCATCATCCCTGACCAGTGGGTCATGCTGGCTGGAGCTGATGGAAATTAGAGTCCAGCAATGCCTGGAAGACTGTAGGTTCCCCATCCCTGGCAGATATCATAATTCACACTGCAGTTAAGCTAAGAAGCTTGGTTTCAAGCCCATTTAGACATCAGACTCTCGGAAGGACGGATTCACCAAGATACATTTCCAAGTTCAGTTAGCATCACATTCTAGAAAATATAATTAAAAGTTAGGAAGAAGGACCAGGTTACAGATTTAAGCTAGCCTTTCCCAACTTGGTATCTTTCAGATGATTTTTGGAGTACAGTTCCTATAGCCTCAATCAGCATGACCAATTATTGGGGATGATGGAAGATATAGTCCAAAATAACTGGAGGGCAGCAGGATGGGAAGGCTGAGTTTAAGCATACTTGATTCATGATCCATAGAAAAAAACAGTGGGATGTCTTTCAAGCAAATGATTTAGGTTCAAGGTGGTACTCCTACAGCTTAATCCTATTTGAAAGCAAGGTCAGATTTCAAATATTAAGTTCGAAGCTTTTCAAAATCTGAAACTAAGTTCATGTTTTTCCACTTTGAATGATGTTTATTTGAGTTTTGCAAACTGCTCAGTTTTTAACACTCGTAAGAAATGCCCTGTGGTTTTTGGCAGAGTATAGCTCCAGGCAAGTGAATCTAGGATTTGTATACAGTCATTACCATGGATCTCTGTGTAGAAATTTAGCCACGATGCACAGAAATCCTGTTGGAGTCCATGGGACATCTTGATTCCTGCTAACTTGGATTCCATTGAGTTCAGTAAAGCTTTCAACAAAACCAAAGCACAACTGCCATCTTCCTCTGGATTGTGCCAACACGCTGAGGTTCCTGCATCCTGAGTTTTACCCATGGGTGGCAATGCCATTGAACAGGAACAGCAAAATGGCTGACATGGCAAATGAAGGGCCAGCAAAATGAAAATTCCAGGGACTCAGCATTTTCAGAGGCAAGTCAATGTGGATGCAAACAGACTTCGTATGAGGTGAGACGACTGGTCCTTGTAATTGTTTCCCACAGTTAGGATTTTCCTCCGTAGGGAAGGGATATTCCATTTTGGATAATGGAATATGTTCTCAAATCAATCTTACATGAACCAATATATACATATATTACATCAACAAAACCATTCTATGCTCCTGTAGATCTGCTATTTTTCTCTTCAAAGTGTGATCCTGCATTGGTCTGATGCACAATCTGGGAGGAAGCTGTCCTGCAAGCCACCCATTCAAACGAATGGGAACTACCAAAGTTGGCTCCTGAACCACTTCATATGTTTCACGTGAGGCTTGGTTGAGCAAAATTGTGCCCCAGCTAGAATGGATATTTTGTCTTTTTTATTAGAAAGTATACTATGTGCTCCCTGACTGGAAAGACTTTTGGGGTGCAATCCTATTCAAATCCAGGCAGAAAAAAAGTTCTATACTTCCAGCATTCTCCCATGCAGGCAGGGGAATGCCGAGATCTGTAGAACAGATTCCTATCTAAGCATGCATAGAATTGCACCTTTACACCAGTGAAATAAAAAGGACAAGGAGAAATGCCTAATTAATTAGTTTAGGCTAATTAGTTTCAAGGGAACCTACTTTCAGGTAAATGCGTGTAGCTTTAAATGCACTGACCAATTAATTCTATGCATGGCATTGGAGCTCAGAAAAGTCCCTCTGAGCACTGTGGGTGCACTTCTGTGTGGACATGCACAGAAGACTGAGCTGCAGGTGTTCTTTGGGCTGCACCTCTTATTCGTGAAGTCAGATAAAACCAATAAAACCTGTCCTGATACCAATGAGAAATTATCTTCCTACCTGAACAACTGGAACAAAATGGCAAATTTTTCAAAGGGCAGATGCTCAACATGACTAACATCCCACCCATGCCTCAAAGAATCCAAACATTCAGGCAGCTGTGTCAATCCATATTAACAAACCAGTTCAAGCGGTTTCACCTCTACTTGGTGCCGCTGTTTTGTAGGTTATTTGGGCATTCAGCTGCAAGCTAGCCCAGAACGCTTTGCCTCACAACAGGGAATGATGCATTGTTACTGGGGAAATGGGTTGCCTTCTCCCAGGACCCTGCAGCCCAGCCCAAGGGCTGCAGCTAAATTCAGATTAAATTAGGAATCCTGATGGGGTGGCAGATGACAGCAGTATCCCTACTAATAATAAAAAGTGCCAGTGCTGCATTTCTGCAAGCCCTTGGTCCACTGCACCACCACTCCATACCCCATATTTAGGTCTGGGTTACTAAAAGCTCCACAGAATGCATGGGAGTGCCATATTGTTTTCCAAATATTTGCCCTTTGCATCTTGATCCAAATGGATTGCCTCATTTCCACATTATGCCCTCAAATGCATGCACACACAGCCCTGGATGAACAAGCACCAGCACTTGGCTTAAAGGCACTTTTGCAAGAAATTTGCATCAAGCACTTTGCTCCAGAACATTTCTGTGATTTCTCTTCCTAATCGTTTCTTGTGAGTTCTAAGGTTAAAGTGTCTTCTCTTTCTCACCCTTCCACCCACTCTTTGGTATACATAGGGTACCAGGAAAACAAAGTAAAATACACTTTAATTTTTCTTTTCTTCTTTTTCCCATTAACATTTATCATTAGCCCAACAACATTAGCAATAAAAAACCCCCTGGAGCAAGAACAAGAAAAACAACAACAACAAAAGACATTCCAGGCCCCATTCCCTGAGAGACAGTGTTTTCATTGTCAAGAGCCGTGTTAGTTACATGGCATTTACTGGAGCATGGAGGGGTGGGGTGGGGTGGGGTGGGGAAATCAAACAAATTAAGGAAAATCAGCTCCCTTCCCTCCCCTGCCCTGACAAAACTTGGGTTGCTCACAATACCATTTTGTACAAATGTGGCACAAAAAGAGCGAGTGTGGAGCCCTTCTGCAAAGTCCATTGTAGTGCACAGAGAAGAGGACAGGGAGACGCAGCAGCCTTATCAGTTTCTGTTGCCAGACCAGTGGCCTTTCCCACCGGGGCTGCTGTACAGGCACACCTCCTCTTTATTTAGGGAGAGCGGGAGACCTCCAGCTGTTCAGTCCATCCTTCCTGCTGCCGTCACTGCGCAGCAGAGGGTGCTAAGCCAGCAGCGCCCAGGATTCCTCCGTTGGGGCCAGAGCCAGTTGTCCCCGGCTGCATGGAGGAGACGGGGCTCATGGGTTCGCATCCGCTGTGCACGCCACCTGGCTGAGACTGTTGCGATTTCTTCTTGTTGATCTTCCTTTCCTTGGCCCGTCTGTTCTGAAACCAGATTTTTACCTGGGAGGAAGAGGAAAACAAAGTTATGTGTCAGTAAATTAGAGAGCTAGGGACTGATGCACAGGTTGGCTAACCTTGCTTTCAAGTAGTCCAGTTTGTGTGAAGGGACTAAGACAGTGCTTTCCGGACGAGAGCTAGGACTGCAATCCCAGACATATTTATCTATGATTAAGGCCCATAGAATGCAGCAGGACTTCCTTAGAGTAAACTTGCAGGAGATTGACCTACATGAGCAAAAATTCCTTACACCCCCCACTCAGAAGACAGGGAGTGGAGATGTGTGGAAAGAGGGTGGACACGTCATAAATTCCTGCGAATCTAAGCTCTTCTTTTCAAAGCAGAAAGATAACATGTTTCTGGAGGAAGGGAAGGGACAACTTGGCTTGTTATGGAAATGAGCTGTTATATGCTATGAAGTTCTCATCCTCCTAGTGGAATTAATAGGCCTTTGAATTAATAATTGATAAATGCTTGCTTACTAATTAAAAGAATCCCAAATGATTTCTCAAGCAAATCTAATGGGCTCAACCCGGCCAAAGTGAGATTTCAATGGGGGAGCATTAGTGTGTATTCAGACATGCCTAAAGCACTCATCTATTTGCATTCATGGATCGCACCCATCCCAGGCTGTCAGACAAATCTGTCCCACTCCTAGGCTGAGCTCAAGGAAAACTGGTGCTGCAGGTTGGACGGACAGACCAGCTGTTTGCAGGATTGATTAGATGATAGGTATGATCCCACCCCGCTGCTTCTCCTCCCAGAATGCTTTTTCAATTTTAAAAAAATGACTGAGGTGTAAAAGAAGTAAGCACATAAGTAACTTATTGAAAAAACACCAGAGGAACTTGTGATTGCTTCAATATCCAACTGGCACTGGGGAACAGAGGTCAGTTTTGAAGTGCAGATATTCATCATGACGATCCCTGTAAACTGTGCTGCCAGAGAAGCCCAGGAGAGGCAGCCCTACTGAGACATCTTTGTATGTGTGCTTGTGTGTTACGGGGGAAGGGGGAAGTGTGTGTGTGTGTGTGTCAGAGAGAGAGAGAGAGAATGGCTGTGTTTGTTGTAAGATAATGGTTCTTAAGCACTGTTCAAGACCAAGCCATCCCAAAATACTTTGCATTAAACTCAGACGGAACAGAGAAGCCAGAGTGGTGTGACAAATGACATCATTAGTTCTATTAATTCAAAAGTCCTGGTGCTTCAAACCCCGGAGCTCTGTCTCTGCCATTTCCATGCACCACAATGCACAGTGGCTTGATGTATAGTGACTACCATGGGCTGTGATGATTGTGTATACCCAGTAATTGTGGAGCAAAAATGAAGCGGAGGGCAAGCTCAGCCCAGTGGGTCAGAAAACACACCACCTCTTGTTTCTCAGTGCATCTGGCCATATACCCTTAAGCCTGTCCTTAACTTTTTGATGGAAATCAAATAGATTTAAGCTTTGCTGAATTGTGTCCAATATTTATAAAAAGTCTGGAACATACTTATGGGTTTCCCAGGGGCAGGTTGTTGGCCATTGCATGAGCAGAAAACTGAAGTAGATTCATGCTTTGCCTGATTCAGCATGGTTCTTCTTACCCAATTAACATAATTACAATCAAGTACACCAGGCTCCAGCCACTGAGAGAAGCTCCAGGTTCATAATTTCAAGGATACCAGTTTTAATTCCATAGAAATATCTCAATAATGTTGACAAAACCCCAGCGTTAAGGAGCAATCCTATTCATGTATAGACAGAAAAAGTTATACAATTCCCAGCATGCCCAGCACTCTTGTTGGTTTAGGCTACAGACAAACCATGACAAGTTCATCCAACATCCAAGAACTGAGCAGAAGTTAACACAGTATAGTAAGGAAACTGCCACCTGTCTTTTTAATTAAAAAGCATAGATCCAAAGTAGAATTCTGAAAACCACAAATAAGACAATTTCTATGCTTCTGGGGGAGAGCATGTTCAATGAAGGAAGCTACTATCTACCAAGTCAGGCCCATTAGTTCATCCCACTCAATATTGTGCACATTGACTCAATAGCAACTTGCCCAGGATTCAAGCAGGCAGATGGGCTGAACTCTAAAAGAGCTGTCCATGGTACTGAACCCAAATTTCAAGACTGGAGGAGGTTCAACAACCTGGACAGCGTCTGTAAAGTTCAAAATGAAACCTGGAGTGGATATGCTGCTCTGCTGTCATTGGAACCAGCAGCCTCAGGTGCAGATAGGAGACTTTTCTGATCTTACCTGGAAGTTCTGCATACACAGGATGCATTTTGTCAGCACTGAGGCATTCCCAAGTCTCCTCCATAACATTAGGGCTGCAATGCTGTGCATGCCTACCTGATAATAACTCGGTGGAATTTATTTCAGAGTAAGCATCCATCAGACTGGGATAGATAAGTGATGCACAGGACCTTAATTCAGCTTGCATGATTTGTGGCTCTCCAATATATGATGATTTTTGGTGACTACAACTGCCTAAGGAAGGGGGTGGGGGGTTCAAACACCTAGTAAGTTACATTCACCTGGGGTGGGGGGCACACTACTTTAATTTCAGTGCAACCACTGCAAAATGTGGGTTACAATAGCAAAAAGTGGCTTCAGTTGCAGTGCTGTGCATACTTACCTGGTAGTAAACTCCACCAAACCCAGTGGAACTTATGAGTAGCTATGTATAGGACTATACTGTTAATGTCATCATAGCACTGTAAAAAGTGGCACAAGCTCCATTAATCCACAGTAGGTGTAAAGGTCTGAGTGGGATGGTGAACCAAACGTTTTTCCTGGATTGGTCTGCATGAGGGATATTATTTGTAGCAATCACACCACTTATGTAACTGGCATATGATTGAGCACTATCCTTTAGGCATCTGGCTTTCCTGGGAAGCGGGTGCAGCTTTTCTTTATTTGAGACTGGAAATTGTTCCTTTGGCCACACTGTTAGCTTGGATTCAGGATGCTTTGCTCTCAGAGGCAATTCTGTCAAAGGGGCCAGCTGGTTCATCCTCCCCCCCCCCCCCGCTTTCCTTTCCTTTCCTTTCCCCTCATTCCCTTTCCTTTTCATGAGCATGCATATTCTCATGGAAAACAAAGGAAAGTACAATGGGCAATTCAGCACAAGAGGCTACAGGACTGAGGGAAGAGTGTGTATTTTTGATTTATATCCAAAATACAACAGCAGCAACAACAACAACCAAAATTTGGGACACATTAGGGACTAGCAGATTTCATGGAGTTTTCATGCCCAAATGGAGACAACAGAAATCATTGCAGTGATGATCAAACCACTGCCTCTTTTACCAGGGCAGAGGACTTGGGGGGAGCAAAGCTATTCCTCACATAGGAGCTTGACTTAGAACTAATGAATTTCCAGGAAACTCAGGAAGGCACCTGGAACAGGGTTGTACTGAAAAGTCTGAAAAGCAAGTTTCTTGGACTTTGAGAACTAAGGTGTGTGGGGCTTTCACAATATCCGTGAGACAGCAAATGCAGGCTAGAACGTTTCTTCTGATAACTGGAATGGGATAAACAAATCCCCTTCCTAAACATGTTGGCATACAAGTCGGCCAATTGCCCATTTTGTGAGCAGGATAAACAAACACATTTGACTTAAGCTGTTTGCTCCATGAAACTACATACAAACATGGGCACAGTCTAGGCATGTTCAGATTCCGTGGAGATCAAGGGACCCAGAACCACATCATCTCTCCTCTTGCCATAGTTAGCACTTTGGGAGTGTTTCGAGTGCCTTGGGTGACTCTTTCAGTATTCCTGACAGCAACTGTGTAAGCAAATGCAGCAGCCTTCCCCAACCTGGTATTTTGATTACTTCTGCCAATATTCCTGAGCACTGGCTTGGTGAATGAGGCTGATATGTAATGAAGTCCAAAACATCTGGAAGACTCCAGACTGGTATAGAAATTACAATGTTCAACTTGGCCTGATGAGACCTGGGTTCAATCTTATTCAGCCAAGAAACTCATTCGATGAACTCGAGCAATTCATTCCATCTTACTCTTAACCTAACCGCACAACTTTATTGTGAGCAGCAATTAAATCTCATTTTATTTCACCTGCAAGGAGCCTTCACAACAACAACTAGCTCCAAGTCACCCTGTGAACTCCATGTCTGAGTGGGAACCAGGATCTCCTGAGTCCTCATCCACCTTCTACATCATGCCTGAACCCTTGGAGAAAAGCAAATTGTGTCAACACAATTCCTAGAAGATCACAGCTTCAGACCCCCTCCTCCATGTATGCCTGCTACAATATTAGCCTTACCCCTGTCTCTGGCAGGATTCAGAACCTTGGGGCCCAATCCTATCAATGTTTAGACGGAAAAGTGCCTGCCAGCTCTCAGACTTCCCTGTCAGCCACACTGCTAAATTTATTATCCTACGACAGAGGAAAGCAAATAAAACCTCAATATATGCTGCTGTATTCAAGAACTATTGACCTGCCCTGCCCATGAAACTATAATTTACATGGAATCACTTTAAAAATATTTCAGTCAAGATAATGAGATGTTCTTGAGGTCTAATATTATCCACAGTGAAACCAGTATAGGCCAGCAAAGAGATGCTCATGTCACTACCCTTATCTTGTATTTCTGTTTCTTGTACTATCATTTTTACTCTGATTATTTATTTATTTATTTATTTGTTTATTTATTTATCCATCCAATATTGGTTTAATGATTTTACTTATATACATGAAACCTTTACTCTTTGAATACATGGCAAAAGGAAGAACATAGGGGAGGGAATAAGGGTGGGAGGGATATTTACTATTATTGGAAAGTGATAATGATGAGTTAATAACAAAAAGTGCAGATTATATAGTTTGCAGGTTTAGCATTATAAAGAGATTTTAAGAGTGAGGGGGGAGAGAGCGGGAGGGGGAGAGAAATAGGGAAAAAGTTAGTTTAGGTGAACCTTTATGTTAAAGCAAAACCAAAACACCCCCAAACCTAATGGGTATGCTGAGGCTATAGGACGTTTTTTATTTAAAAATGTGAATTGAACCTTCAGTCATTTAAAGTTTGTTTTATGCCGCTTTTCAGACAAGCCTCCCTGAAGCAGTGCTCAAAAGATTTTTGAATTAAATTTAGATTTAGATGTAAATCTCCCATGTGAAAATGGAAGCTGTCATTCCCAATTCCATCAAGCCAAGCTGTTTCCTCCAATCACCAGACACTAACAAGCTCAGCTTTGCTCCTTCATGTCTACCTAGCAAGGAATTGCAGTCAAATTCTGTGTCTCTGGAAAGTATACCTGCAAGGTGAACCTGTGCCTCTCTCCCTTGCACACCTAGAAGGAAGGGCTGAAGCCTATTGGTAGAGAAAATGTGCTGATAAAATATTCCAGGTTCTATCCCTGTCTTCTCCAAGTAGGGCTGGGGAAACATTCTTGTCAGAAACTTGTAGAGCTGCTACCAAGCTGTACTGAGTGATAGACCAACTAACTGTCTACTGGGTGTAAGGAAACTTTCCTCAAAACATAAAAAAGTGAATCCAAGATTTTATAGAAGGTGCCTCAAGCTGATTTTTGAGGAATTCTTCCTCTATCCCCATATACACTATAGCTCACTCAATCCATTAAAGTTCCTCTGAACTTCCACACTGCATTTTCAGATGGCTGGAGGGGCTGCCTTGAGGAGGCAGTGGCAGAAAATTCCACTTCCACCAGCCCAGTTGGAGTGGCCTCCACCTGGATCCAGGCCAACATTCTTGCATTCAGAAAGGCTTTAGATTGTAGCCTGTTAAAAGACATGGGACTTGTTTCATGCACAAGCCTTTACCAAACTGACGGATGGATAGCACTGATCATATTTAGGAATCAACATTAAGGTGACTTGACAGAGGGGACTGGCTGTGATACAGCAAGAAGCAGCCAAAGTCATACCTGTCTCTCCGATAAACCCAAAGTGGCTGCCAGCTCCGCTTTCCTCCGGATGGTAATGTAACGGCTGTAATGAAACTCCTTCTCCAATTCCAGCCGCTGGTGATCCGTGTAGACCACACGGTACTTGTCTTTCGTCCGTGTTTTCACTGAGGAGAGAGATGGAGGTCAGGCTGTTTATTTTTAATTATATTCATATCCTGCCTTTTCTCCTCTTGTGAGGAATCCAAGGCAGCTTACAGAGTCCTCCTCCTGCTTTCCACTTTATCCCCACAACAGCAGCCCTGTGAGGTAGGTTAAGCTGAGAGTCAGTGACTAACACAAAGCCACCAAGTCAGCTTCATGACTGTGTGGGGACTTGAACCCAGATCTGCAGAGTCCCAGTCCAACATTCCACCCTGGGCTGGCTCTCAATTAAAGAGAGCACATGGGTTTTAAAATGTACTCTTTCAAAGATACAGTTGGGGAAAATTCCCCTCAGTTTTAACAAAGGCTTAGCCCATATGAGAAGTGTCCAGTTGGTCTCTAGCGTTCAGGGTTTCTGAAGGCAATGAAACAAAACAAGACCAAAACAAACATCACTACAAGATATCCCAGCCTGACGTGTTAATTCAGATTTCCTAGCCCTATGACTGCTCAGAGTTAAGCATCCAGTTTAGAAAAGCTACTGTTAATTATTTCGACTAATAATGAAGGGCCTCTGTCCTTCCTGCTAGTGTAAATTGTAAGCCCTCCAATGTCTGGTTTGAAGAGGAAGTGACTGTCAAACAATGCCTGTAAAAAGCAAGCAGCTGCTAGATTTATGGCCCCCAAGTCAAGCACATGCACATAAGCCAATGCCTGTCCGCCTGTTGTGTGTCAGAGAGCAGCACCTTAATTTGTCCACATCTATCATCATGTGGTACTCTGTAATTTGGCCTGTTAAGACGGGCACTTGGACAAAAAAGAATTAAGCCCTGCTGAGTTCAGTAGAACCCATTTCTCCAAATGTAATAAGTGAGAGATCACAGCTTTCTCCAGGGACAATATATACAAGAAGACCTAGTCCAGACAAATAAGCACTTTGAAGTCCTGCTGAATTCAAGAGAAAGGACTTGAACACATGTGTGCATCGTCCATTTACTGGCTTGTGCCCAAGTGTCATGATCCAGCAGGATCCCTCTTGTACGCACCGGCCCCATGGAAATAATCAGGGTCTATGCGCAAGAGCACAGTAGAGCATTCCAGTGGGACTTGAACACAGTCCCATTCGATTGTGACCAGGGCAACAAATGAAACCTTAGCAACACATTTTTTCTTTTATGTCTTCACACTTAGGCCTTTCCTCTCTGTCCCAAGCATGTTACTCAGAAATTGGGATTTGTTTGGACTGAAAGTGCCATTCATTGAAATGGAGATCTAAACATTTCCCCCTTTTGGAATCAAGCCCCAGGTAAGGCTTTCATCCAAGGAAGGCTTCCAAGTCACATTTGCACATGTTGGGACCTGAAGCAAACCCATCACACACACACACACACACACACACACACACACACACACACCCCTCTGTTAAGCAATGCAATCTGAAAGCATGATCAGCCAAAATGAGGCCATTTTCATCCCTATTTCTTTCCCAGAAAGAATCATGCACATGTCTTGCCTCCGAACACACATGCTATTTCCTTTGAAATGGATGTAACTTCACCTGTGTATGGACAATACCAATGACAAATTGCATGCATACCCACATCCCATTTGTGGTAAGATTGATAAGGAAGATATTATGTCGTTTGAGGAAGGGCAGTCTGCAAAATTAGTTCATCCTCATCACCACCACCACCTTGCAGTTATATCCTACCCTTTTCCCCCTCTTATGAGGAACCCAAGTTAGCTTACCAAGCTCCATTTTATCTTCACAACAACAACCCTGCAAAGTGGCTTGGGCAGAGTGCCTGTGACTCATCCAAAATCACCCAGTGAGCTCCACAGAATAGCCATCCACTGAACTCCACCCACTATGCCATTATACCGCACACCACACATCACACTGTCCAAAAGTAAACATGGCATAGTATTTATTTATTTATTATATGTGCATCCATGTGTATTTACACCCCATATGTTTACATCCCATATTTTTTTCCTGCAAGGAACCCAGGACAGCCTCCATAATCCTCCACTTTATCCTCACAACAATCCTGTGAGGTAGGTTAGGCTGAGAGTCAGTGACTTGCCCAGAGTCACCCAGGAAGACTCATGACTGAACAGGGACTAGAATCAAGATCTCCCAAGTCCCCAGCCAACACTCTAACTGCACCACTCAGGATAATCCCTTTGTGATATTGGAGCAGAAGGGTCATAGCTGAACAGTGTGGAAAACTCTTTTCTCTTTATGTAGGGGTGGGCAGTTTGTGCCCTCCAGACGTTGGATTACCATTCCCTTTGACCTAGTCAGCATAGCACTGAGGAGAGATGATGGGAAATGTAGTCCAACAATATCTGGAAAGTCCCAAGTAGCCCATTCCTGTTCTAATGGGAAGGAACAAGAAAACCTGAAATTTTAAACACAGAGGCACAAGCAAGCAAGAAATGCTTTGCATTTCCCAGGGACAGCAACCCCTTTTTTATCAGTGGCATAACGTTTTGTCCTCTGTTGGCAAATGTATGGAGTGAAAGTAAACAGTGGGTTCAGAGGCCATGGAATGCATTAAGTATGCTCTGCAATATTTCTATGTGAAGATCAAGTGTATATAAGTACAGTGATAATTAATAAAAGAATCTCTTCTGCAAGCACGTAGGCTACAATACTTCTAATGAACCTACACTTGTCCTTCCCAGCCTGGCACCTTCCAGAAGTGTAAGATGACAACTTGAAAATTCTCAGCAACCCTGGCCACCAGTCAATGAGATCTGGGGATAATGGGAGTTGTACTCCAGCTTCTCCAGAGGCAGGCCAGGGCTGGGGAAGGGCAGTTTTGCTGAAACAGACAAATATGGTTATTTCTTTGGAAATCCCCCACTCCATGTCCCAGGTGGAGAACCAGAGACTGTTATTGTTCTTGCAATATTCAAAATGGTGAGAGAGCTGCTTTCAGAAAAATGAAACTAGTTTGCTAATCCAGCAGTGCCTCTATTGTTGATTTTACGAGTACATTAAAACAGCAGCTCCAAATACTTTTGCTATATGTGAGCAGCCTGAGTAAAAATCTCCACCAAATATATACTATGATCATCTTAGACAGAGACAGCTTTGGTATAGTGGACCATGAATTGGGAATCGAGCTCCTGGGTAGGCGACATGGGCCTCGCCCTTGACAGGGTAGCACTCCCTCTAAAGGACAGGGTGCACAGCTTGGGAATGCTCCTCCACCCAGAGCTGTCCTTGGAAGCTCAAGTGACAGCGGTGGTGGTGAGGAGTGCTTTTCTTCAGCTTTGGCTAATCCATCAGGAGGAAGATTGCCTAGCAACAGTAACACACGCATTGGTTACTCCCCGGTTGGATTTCTGTAACGTGCTTTACGTGGGACTGCCCTTGAAGACAGTCCGGATACTTCAGATGGTGCAGAACAGAGCTGTCAGGATGCTTTCGGGGACTGGGCATTATTCTCATATAACCCCAGTCCTCTATCAGCTCCATTGGCTTCCCATCAAAATCCGGGCTCAATTCAAGGTGCTGGTTATTACCTATAAAGCCCTAAATGGCTTGGGACCAGGATACCTGAAGGAAAGCCTTCTTCCCTATTTGCCCTCCCGCCCCCTGAGATCGGCAGCAGAAGCCCTCCTCCGGGAACCCTCTGGGAAAGATATTAGGAGGCAGAGCACCCAGAGGAGGGCCTTCTCTGTGGTGGCACCCCGACTGTGGAATTCGCTCCCCAGAGAGGTCCACCTAGTGCCATCATTATATGTTTTTCAGCACCAGGTTAAGACCTTTTTATTTAATCAATATTTTAACAAGTTTTAATATTGAATTTTATTACCATATTTTAATTGCAGCCAGAGTGGGTCGTTAATTTATTTATGTGATACTGTTATGTATTGAATTTTATCTGTGTAAGCCATCCTGAGGCTCTTGCAAAGGATGGCATACAACCATCTTAAACAAACAAACAAACAAACAAACCTTCATCTTATTGCAGTGCAAACATTGGTGGAACTTCTTTGAAGACTGTCCAGAGAAACAATTCCAGCCTCAAAGTAGGAGCATATCTGACCGGTCCCTGAATGGCTGCGCTGGCTCTTGGCCCCTCTCTCTGGGCGCAAGTTAAAGCGCTGCTGGGATGAGGGCCTTTGGGAGCCTCCCTGTGCTAGACCAGCCTGCCGACACACTGAGGTCCGTCCTAGGACGGCCAGTGCAGCATGGGGGTCAAAGTGTTGGCCTGGGACAGAGACTTGGGTTCTAGTCTCCACTTATCACCGAAGCTCACTGGGCAATTTGGGGCCATCTTATTTTACTTCGCAGGGTTGTTGCGATGACAAAACTGAGAGGAAGATTATGTGAGTCACTTGGGGTTCCTTGGGGGGGAAAAGCAGGGTAACGTTATAATAAACACAGAATCATTATCTTATCAATGATCCTTGAAACCTTTTCTGCAAGTGCCCCTGCCAAATGGGGTGCAGTGGTGGCACCCCAGGAAGGGGGTCTTCTTGGTGGGGGCATCCCACCAACTGAATAGTCTCCTGAGGAGGTTGGCTTGGTACCTGCATTGTCTTTGGGGAAGCAGGCAAAGACCTTAAAAATGGCCAGAACTCTTGATTCCCTCTTAGATTAGACAACATGCATTTGTGTTGGTTTTATGCTGTACCATCTCCTGGTTTATGTTTTATGGATTATTGTGGATCTTTGTGTTTTTGTTATGTTTTAGTTTATTGTTCAGCAAAGTGCACTGAAAGCTGGGATCTGAGTTTATTGAAAATTATAAAATAAACAGAGTGATACGTACATGCACACACCCACAAGTTATCTGACTTACAAATAAATTTTCTCTTGGATCTTTTGGAAGTTTTTCCCCAAGTAGCAAGGGTTAAACAAGGAGACATCCATGCAGTTTGCAGTAAAAGGTCTTGGGCTTCTTTCAGCCCAGGGCCACCTGCCTGTCTGAGTTGTGGGCTGAGACATTAGTCCTGTTCAATTCAAAGGAAGAAAAAGTTGTGAATTCTATGCTGCTGATTA